ATTCCAAGCCATTGCATGTTTCAGTTCACATGGATGGATGATCTGGGCACCAGCTTAAAAATGCTGTAGTGGATTGACTCCTCTATCTTGAATAAATGCTTCGCCAGAGCTGACATTGAATTTTGAATGCCCCATCGGAGTCAATCAAATGCCCCGCGGGAGTCAACATTTTGAATTCTCAATTCCCTGTCAGTGTCAATCAAATGCTCTGCCACAGTCAATAAAGTGCTCTGCTAACTTGACGTATTCAAGATCATGCCACAGATGACCATATTGTGGAGGTCATGTTTTCAATTTCAAGGTCAAACACCCTGATGGGGCCATTGCCGACAGTGCCTTCAATCTCAACCTCAAACACCCCGACGGCAACATCCTCTGTGGTGCTTTCAATTTTAATGACAAACACCCCAACAGAGACATCCCCCGCGGCACCTTCAATTTCAATGTCAAACACCCTGATGGAGACATCCTCCGCGGCGCTTTCAATCTCAACCTCAAACACCCCGATGGTGACATCCCCCGTGGCACCTTCAATTTCAATGTCAAACACCCTGATGGTGACATCCCCCGCGGCGCCTTCAATCTCAACCTCAAACACCCTGACGGAGACATCCTCTGTGGCGCTTTCAATCTCAACCTCAAACACCCCGACGGTGACATCCCCCATGGCACCTTCAATTTCAATGTCAAACACCCCGACGGAGACATCCCCCACGGCACCTTCAATTTCAATGTCAAACACCCCGACGGAGACATCCCCCGCGGCACCTTCAATTTCAATGTCAAACACCCTGATGGTGACATCCCCCGCGGCGCCTTCAATCTCAACCTCAAACACCCCGACGGCGACATCCTCTATGGTGCTTTCAATCTCAACCTCAAACACCCCGACGGTGACATCCCCCGCGGCACCTTCAATTTCAATGTCAAACACCCCGACGGAGACATCCCCCACGGCACCTTCAATTTCAATGTCAAACACCCTGACGGTGACATCCCCCGCGGCGCCTTCAATCTCAATGTCAAACACCCTGATGGTGACATCCCCCGCGGCGCCTTCAATCTCAACCTCAAACACCCCGACGGCGACATCCTCCGCGGTGCTTTCAATCTCAACCAGAGTCAACCTCAAACACCCCGACGGTGACATCCCCCGCGGCACCTTCAATTTCAATGTCAAACACCCCGACGGAAACATCCCCCGTGGCACCTTCAATCTCAATGTCAAACACCCTGACAGAGACATCCCCAACAGAACCATCAATTCCAGTTTGACACCCCAATGGAGCCACAAATGAGTAGACAAGGTGTGAGTAGCTAAATGAAAAGCTTTCATTTCTTAACTACAAGGTGAGTGTTTCCCTGTTGGGACAAAATTCAGTTTTTGGTTGATATGGAGACTATCTTGCAGGAGTTGGATGAGATAAAGATTAAGATACATTATGCTACAGATCTAGATGGATGTAAGTAAGGGGAGAGAGGCCCCAGTTAAATTTTTTTGTAGTTCCATCAGGATGGGCTGAGAGCCCGTCGGTTGAAAAAGTGGTTCCGCCGCGGGAGCATAAACCCTGCCAGGGTCAGAAACCGGCCGCTTCGTTGCCAATGGAACAATGGCAATCAAACCGGCCGCCCCGGCTGACCCGTTCACTACGACTGATTGTCACGTCCGGCTGTTCCGTTGTTATTGGACCCATGTGACTGAACTAACTACGGCATAACGGAAGAAAAGGTTCATAATGACCAAACATGAACCCCATCATGGGGGGCAACCAAAATCAAGACACCAAGTGACCGAGCCTTCAATGACAACAGCAAAAACATACCTGGAGTTGTTCGATCGTCATGCCTTCGTAGTTTTCCACTGTCTTGAAAAGGTCATTGAGATTTGGCATTTCCTGTGAAACAAAGTGGGTCAGCATCGGCTGGGATGGTAGGACCGGAAGCGGAGCAGTGAAAGTGGGGATGCGAGCAAGGGAGAAGGAGCTAGAGAAGGAATTTGGATGAAGGGAATGACGGGATGTGGAAAAGAGAGAAGGGGGGAGGAGATGGCACAAAAAGTCAACCCCGAGTGGGAACGAGCCAAAGAACCAGGAAAGAAGGCAAAAAAATACCCACCTCTTCTTTGGGTAACGACTTGTTGCTCAAGGTCTTCTGCAGTCTGTGCCGCCAATCACGCACTTTGATTGATTCATTGTCTTCAGAACCTTTGGCTGGAAAGAGAAGAACGCGGTCAGCTTCTGACATGGCGAGAAATGAAAGGACAAGTGATTGGATGGGGATGGCGGTGCGAATAGGGTGGTTGAAGATGGTAAAGCATGCGATGAAGGAAAAGGAGTGGTAAAAAGGGAACATCGTTAAAAAAGGCGGTGTCATTCAAAAACATAGAAAAGTGGTGCCCTGGAGTGACATTTGAAAGTCACCAGGGCTGCGGAAGAGGACAATAGAATACATCGCAAAGGTAAAGAAAGCACCGAAACCGAGGAAAATGTGCACAAGAGGCAAGTGAAAGTCGATGCTGAAGATAAAGAGACGCCAAAAGGGAAGTAAAGGAGAGAAGAAAGCGGTAGGGGCTGATAAGGAACGAGATGAAGGGAGAAAAGCACTAGAAAGTGCGGCAAGTGCAAAAAGGTCATAAAAACAACCATAGCCCATGGAAAGTGGCGGTTATTGCCCCAAATTCAAGAGTAGAGAAGCCTAGGGCCCGAGACGATGATTGAATGGCGCCAGCGCCTCCGAAAAGAATGATAGACCACAACAAAATGGACAAAAAGAGGAAAACCGAAGAATGAACAACGCCAGGTATAAATGAAAGCTGATTTTGGAGGCCAAAAGGCAGGCAGAAGAAGGAAGACAATGATAGAAGGTGATACGGTGTGCAAGGAAGCGAGAAAAGTGCTCAAAAGTGCAAAAAGGTCCGAAAAGGAACCGTGGGGTCAAGAAAGTTGGAGGACATCTAAATTTCGAGAACAAAAGGCGCAAAAGCGTTTGGGAGACCCTTGAGAGACAGCAGCGCCTTGGAGAAGATGATAGGACATAAGAGGAAGAAAAGGGGGGTCAAAAGCACAAAAAAGGCGCCAGAGGAGGATGAAAGTTGACGCCATGATAAGGAAAGACACCAGAAGCGATAAAAAGAAGGGAAGGGTGAGGAAGGTGCTTTTGTAAGGCAAAAGCAGCTGTACGATGAAAAAGAATGGGAGAAGCGGAGGGAAAGCAAAGGATGGGTCACGACAGAGGGAAAAGGAAGGTCAAGCAAGAGAGAGGCAGGCAGAAGAGAAGGGAAGAGAAGAGAGAGATAGAAGAGAATGGAAGGAACATCAGAGGACATCCAACAAAGGCAAAACATGAAAATGGGGGTTATGAAAAGCAATCCGATGAAAAGGGTGGAAAACGTCGAGGAAGGGAGGTGCCAAAGCATAGCTCTCAGACGAGGAGAAGATGGCAGAAAAAGGGTCTGGGGCATTCCAAGAGACGAGGAGAGGAAAACAGGGGCAAAAAGGGCAGTTATGGCAACAGCGAGCAAAGACAAAATGAGAACAAGCTAGAGGATCAGAGCAATCCGATGATCCACTCCACTGATCCACCAAGCCACCAGGTCCGCAGAACCACAAAGAAAAGGAAAAGGAAAGCAGACTTACCTTCATCTGCATTGTCATCCCGGTCCCGTTTCGCTTTCTTCACCGGTGGGGGCGACGCAGCAGTCTTATCTGCCACAGCCGCGGCCTTCTTGGGGCTCTTCGTGCTGGGCCCAGCATCTGCGTCATCTTCAGCCTCATCCTCCGCATCCGCCTCAGCTTCACCTTCATCCTCAGACTTGACCATCGCCTGCGACTTTTTGGAACGTTTAGAGGCACCATTGCCATTGGTGGCTTTGGCCTTCCTCGTGGTGCTTCCGGCATCAGCGTCTTTCTTTGGCTTGGCTTTCGCTGGTTTATCGGATTTCTTCCTCTCTTTCTTTTCTTTGACAGATGCAGAAGCATTGTCGCATTTCCTCTTCTTCCCTTGTTTCTGGCCTAGTAAATCAAGGAATTAGCATGGACTCAACGACGACGATAAAACAAAACATGAAAAAAAAACGCGAACCTGCAGCTCCTTCATCTTCTCCATCCTCCGTCTCTGCAAGCTGATCAATCTCAGCATTTTCCTCCATGTCAACCGTATCCTGGATCATAGCCTCCTTCTCCGCGAGCCACTTCGCAGGGTCCAGAGCAATATGATACTCATTCAACAGCTCTGACGACTTTTTGTGGGGCTCCGAGATGTACGACTCAATTTCGTGTCGTTGGAGCTTCGAAATTTCTTTCTCGACTAACCATGCATTGCATGCAACGTGTCACGTCAGGGCGGAGAACGCATGGTCAAAAAAAAAAAAAGGAAACACACTGGTCACCCAAAGGGAAGAACCTGACGTGGCCTTTTTGCTGCTGGGGCGTTCGAGAGCGACGCTGGGGTGGACGTTGTCTGGGTACACGACCTAGATGTAGATTCAGGACCTGGTTGGACGTAACTCGACGCGAGGAAGGGGGCTCTCACCATACCGGGCCACGGTGGGAAGCCGCGCACTTTGCCTAGGACCGTGTCGTTGATGTTGTACGTGGTGGCCACTTTGGCCTGCTGGGCTTTGCTACTTTTCTTGCTCATCGTGGCTAGAGACGAGTGCGATGTGGCAGACGGTGAGGAGGGATGTTAGGAAACTGAAAAGGATGATGATTGAAGTTTGTTGAAGCACGAGACAAGCGGCCTCGGCTATTTCCGGTCACCTTTGCGCACAGACCTGCCGCTTACCAGGGACAACAATCTGCAACATCTATTATCTATTAAAGACATGAGGGGCCAACTTCGATATCACGGCTACGACCGATGGTTGTACACTGCCGACTCCCAGTTAGCATAAGCACTACGCATACAAATGTGAATACTGTACTAATATGACCAAGTCTTCAGGCCCTTTAGGGTGACACCTTTTGACTGTCTCTTCATCCCTTCGATAGCTGATGTGATGCATGACAAAGAGTATGCTCTCTTCATCCAGGTGCATTGGCTGTCCTGAACAGAGGCCCATTGACAATTTGAAGTTCAAAACCAACTGCAATTTGTTAGCATACATTGATACAATATTTTCCTGGGACTGGGGTACGTGCGTCATTTTCTGTTTCTCTACTTCAAATCTCTAACACATCTCACAGTATTCAATTCATGCTTGTGTCTGTTCACCGCATGATTACTCTGCATCACCAAGCATCATGAGTTGTGACATGCCAACATCGAGTCGAGGCTTCATAATACTAACAGCAATCAATAATAGGATATGCTATTCAAGCACAGCGCTCACTGTCTTGCAAATAATGTGAATTTTGTTACATCCCAACTACAGAAAGCAGCCCATTGCGCCTCCTGCCAGTGAATTGCCTTTGCCGTCGTTGGCCTACGTTTGAGGCCTCCCTAAATCAGACCAACCATTGTCTCATTTTCCTCAGCCATGTATCCTTGACGCCGCCCTGGTCATGCATCACATAGCCTCAAAGCACTGGCACCACTCTCGCCTCCCCCCATGCGACTTCTGTTGACCCTGGCCTTGCCACTGGTTGACACTCTTCACAACATCGTGCATGCCGCATCATCTTCATACTAGTGTTTGGAAGTCCGGTCTCGTGACTGGAAAAAGACCATAACCAGACCGGACCAAGACCGCAAAAGACCGGACCTGCGGTTACGGTCTTTTATTTTTGAAATGTAAAGACCGCAAAAAAACCGGTTAACGTGAACCAGTCTTGACCGGTTTGGACCGGTTTTTTGTAGCCCCTTAAATACCCTTTAAAACGCACCCAAGAACGTACGATTTGGTAAAAAAACGAGAGAGATATGAATTAAAATGTAAATTACTTTTGGGAATAATAGATGTACCAGACTTATTTTATAGAAGCACCAATTCCTAACGGAATTTAACGTTCTTGGGCTCGTTTTGAAGCTATTAGAGATGTTAATAAATTTACCGATTCATAATCTTAAAATATTGGCCTAAAGACCGGTCATAAACCGGTTAAAACTGATGCAGACCGAAACCGGTCCGGTCTGGTCTTTTGACTTCTGGGGAAAAGGCAGACCGGTTACAGTTACGGTTAACGCCCCTGGGCATCAAAAAACCGGACCGAACCGGACTTTCAAACACTACTTCATACTCATGTCTCTCACTGGCACCTTTCTTTCTCCCTCCACGTCCTCAAAGCATGAATCCTCACACCCTTTTCATCTGTGCAGATGTTCTGGACGCCTCTACTTCGGGCACTCCCTCTCTGCCTTGTCTAATAACTTATGAAGCTAATACAATAACATTGATAGCATCTGGCTCAATCAAGCACAGGCAGTCTTTAATGTAGCGGAGAACAGCACCAAAGCTTCACCCTTGTCGCCGTCGACTCAGGATGTGGGAATAAATGTATGTCCCCTTCTTTCTCTCTTATTTACCACTGACCATGGTATTAGTAACCCAAAGCATGGCCTGAGCCCTGCTGTCTTGAACCCAGCACAAGTGTGTATGACCTAACAGCAGTGTGTATCACCCCACACATCTGTTTCAGGCCCAACACTGGTGCCTACAAACCAACACCAACAATTAGAGCCAAACACCAGCATGCATGACCAGCACCGAAGCTTCGCCCCTCCTTGTTGTCCTCAACCTGGGATGTGGGTGTACACAAAAGGTCAAAGCAGGAACACACAGCAAATCTGAAGACCACTCCACCATTGGGCCACAACATGAGAAGGTAGACAGCCAGACACACCAACAAACCAACTCACCACAAACGACTGGGCAGCTACAGATGGCGAGAATCTGGTGGGAACTCTAGAATGTGTATCCAGGGTAAAGTTGGGGTCTCCAACTGTTCTCGAGGAGCAGCTATAGCCTCTGCCATCGCCTCTTTTACAATACATCTAGCATTGTTTCCTGTACCAGATGTTGTTCCTATAAACTTTACACAATTCCAGGAGTACAAGAAGTGTTCAAAACAAAAAAGGACAGAGTAAGTATTCCTATACATAAAATTCAAACAAAGTCTAGCAGAAGGTCCACATCTCGATGCCGTCGTTATCTACCCAACATGTCTTTCATATATACAATGTGTCATCATTGGATTTGAGGAGTGTGGCGATTAGTGCTTGGAAGTTAGGTTAATTAACTGGAAAATAACCGAGACCAGACCGGACCTAACCGCAAAAAAACCAGACCGCAGTTAGTGGTTAGTCAATTCTGGAAATGAAATAACCGGTTATTTTGCAGTTAGCTAACCGTTAAAAAACCGGTTATGACCGGTTACAACCGACCCTATTATACCCCTTCAAAACGCATCTAAAAGCATGAGAAACACTAAAAATCTGACAGAGTTATGGTCAAATCTCTAAAATATTGGCTAAAATAGTAGGCTTTCAAGAATATTATTATAAAATTGTCAATTCTTCACCGAATTTAGCGTTCTTGGGCTTGTTTTAAAGCTACGACGCATGGCAATAATGTTTACTGCAAGGAATATGAGAAATATACGCCGTTTTAATCGATTTTCTATTTTTTCGGTCCTAACCGGTTAGTAACTGCAACTAACCGGTTTTCGTCGGTTATCTTCGGTCCAGTTAGGTTATTTTGGGTCTGGGAACGAACCCTAACCAGTCTCGGTCTGGGAACGAACCCTAACCGGTCTCGGTCTCGGTTAGAGCCCCTGGGCACCCAATAACCTAACCTAACTGGACTTTCAAACACTAGTGGCGATGTTGGTATGCCCTTTCAAACGTTAAACCTAAACATTTTTTGATTTGCGAAATCTGCTGCAACTTATGAACCTTTGTTAATTTCTCTTCCTCTTCTCCCATCACTGTTGTACCACTATGGGCAGGACACACAATTCTTCTGGAAACAATCAGTATAAACCATGCTGTGAGTCTAGAAAACAACATAACTTCTGGTGGTAATCTATGCTCAATACAAGAATTTCTAGCACCAGACAATTTGATCAAGGATCATCTCTGCCTTTACTTTTCGATTGGAAGGAGTGATGTTGAGATTGTAGACCTCTTAAAAAGCCATTATGATACACAGCACTACAGGATGAGGTGTGGCTGATACTTCAATTCTGGTACCTGCCCCTCTCTAATCACTCATTTCTCCCAGTGTGAAAAGTGTCAAGAGGCAATGAGAGAAATGGAATTTGCTCAGTGCTAGACAAAACACAGTTCTGAGTCAATAGCTGCTGCAGTTTCAGAGATTAGAAAATGATATCCACACTGGGGTTCAGAAACAATAAGAAAAACCCTCCAATTGGAGTACAAGATGCATGTACCTAGCTGAGTCACCCCTTGGTTTGTTCACACAACAATGACATTGTATTGTTTTCTTAGATCTGTTATTTCAGTGCATCTTCATGAAACTGAGGAAGGCAAGGTGAAGAAGCGCAAGGGTCAGCAATTCAAACGCAAGTGATACTATGCAGCTGGGGTGAACGATGTATGGCCACAGGATCAGCATGATAAGTGGGGCCCCCGCTTTGGCTTGTGGTTCCACAACAGCCTAGATGCAATGTCAGCATGGAACAATTGGCTCAAAGTTTGGTGGACGAACTCAAACCCACGACTGATTGCAAAGTATTTTTTGGATTGCTGCCACGAAATGAAAGGTTAGTACATTTCAGTGATGCCTCCAGCTATTTCTCTAAAATTATGTGCACTGGGCTCAGGGGTTCCCATGATGACCCAATCCGATCCTGGAACAGAAAACAATGGGGTCGCTAATATCCAAACTACAATTCGTCACAGGCTTGATCCATCTCTTTGTGACACTTTACAGCATCGGTTTATGCGAAAGAAGAACAATGTCAAATCTGAGGCAAATTGGTCAATTTTCTGCCATGATTTTGCACCTGGGTTTGAAACAATTCTAGAAGATGGTGTGAATAAAGGGCTTTATGATGTTGATGATGCATTAGAGAAGTAGGCTCATCATTTTGCTCTTCTTTGACAGCTGAATTCACCTTTTCTACTGTTAGCCTTGTATTTCGGTGGCTTGCCATCCCATGGATTCAGGCTGAACTTGATAGCTGGGTTTTCCAGTGCAACTTTACTGCTCCTCGTGCAGACAAAAATAAAATACTTCCCCATGGTGTTCCTGCCCTCATTCGCTCTAATCCCAGTCGGTTTGGCAGTTTGGATTTCAAGGTACAGCAATGTCTATGATTCTTGTTCTCTACTTCATACCTCCATGTTAGATTCTGGTTCCAGATCATCTCTTTGATGAAATGGAGGCAAAATATGCACCCCCAGATCACCCAGTCTTTCAACTCACACCAGAACCATTTGATCAGCGGGCAAACATCTATTATGAAAGCATGGGTTGCCCACAAGTAAACTTGAGTACCTTCTGGACAGTGTATCAAGATCTCCTTCAGCAGTTCCAATCTGGACCTACTGGCGATGAACTTGAAGAATTATTAGGCAGCCTTCACATTACAACAGAGCAAATTTCACAAGGCGATTTGATTGAAGTTCTTCCTCTCAAAAAGCTTCATGCAGGTGATAGAATGGTGGGGGTGATTGAGGGTACCATCGCTGTTGGATCCTTTTCTGCTCCTATGACAGACTCAAGCAGCGAATCTGATACTGAGGAGTCTGAGTGAGATGAGGATGGGCATCATAGGGTTCTTGGTGAACAGTTGATCTTCATTGCAATGACCCCCACTCAAAGTGAAGGTGGTGAGGGGCAAGGCAGGAGCTACGAATGAATAGGAGAATAAATAAAATAACTAATACTTCGCATACAGGGCATTCAGTAGATATGCTATGGAACCATAACAATAGAAATTGACAATTGTCCCAATAAGTCATAGGGCTACCCCAATGGGCCCAATTACAAAAGACATTATGATACTATACATTGGCCCAACAACATGACAATATGTATATTTGATTGTTGGGCCCAACGACGGTGCCACAGTCCAAGCTAAGGGTTTATAGATTGGCCACATGGCTTAAATGGGGGTAATTTTGGCCGTTGATATATGATGGTATTAAGGTACCATTGATAGTTGGGCCCAATGAAGGGAAATCATTAAGGGAGATGGTTGGGCCCAATGGCCCAATTATTAAGCTATGGTTGATGGTTGGGCCTAATGTAAGGTATTTGTTAAGGGAACAGGTTGGGCCCAATGGTAAAATTTCAATGCTATGGCTTGTAAGTTGGGCCCATGCCATGATATAAGCTATAGTTCATAGGTTAGCCCAATGATTGTTTGAATTTTGCGGGTGTGGGCTTTGGTCCGGTAAACCCGTGGGTCCGCTCCTGTTCTGTTGGACCCACGGCCGCACAATTGTGCATTTCCACCTGCGGGTTGGCTATTGTGCAGTTACCCCCATGGGTCGCCACATGGGCCAGATTATGTTCCATTACCCCACAGGTCAACAATGGGTCCATTACACCCATGGGATCTTATTCCGTTACACCCACGGTGTCCAGCTCTTGTTCCCTTAGACCCATGGAACCTTCTTCTGTTAGGCCCGTGGGTTTCCAATTGCAGCCATGGACCATTTGCGGCTCCCCCGCAGGTCTCCAATTACACCCACAGATTACCTGCTGCTCCATTACACCTGTGGACACCCCGGACCACCTGCTGCTCCTTGACCAATTGGCCCTCTTCCATCAGCCCCCCACCCGTGGGCCACGTTTGCAGCTGGCCTGCAAAATGGATCAACAATTGTGCCTTTACATTCACAGACTGTTATTCCATTACACCCGTGGACCAGCAATTGTGCCGTTACATCTGCGGACGAGCTCTTGTTCCATTACACCTGTGGGCTGTGCTCTCATCTGCAGACCTGTTCTTGTTCTGTTACCCCCCTGGACCAACAATTTTTTTATCTGCGGACATCCTCAGGGCAGTTAGTAGGAATCACCCACCAACACTGAGAGCCCCGAACATACAAACAGGCCATACTTGATGGTGCCTGCTGATGGGCCGATAAGAGACAATAACCTGGTGTTGATGAATTGGCCGATGCAGTCCCATGAATAAGGTAATGAAGGGTCGGCCGGCGATGTAGATTTAGCACAGCCAGATCAGCAGGAATTACACCTGGAGAGCGAAGGACAACTATTTGTATATTGGCTGATGGAAGATAGCTATGCAGGATCAGTTGACAGATTTGAATGTTCCTGGGTTGGGGATCAGCCGAGGGTCTTAAATTCTGATTAGCAGAGTCAGCTGGTGGGACCCAGATTATTGTAGTCATGGCTCGGCTGATCAGTCCAGCAAATGGATACCGCTACTGAGTCAGCCACGAAAACTGACAATTTATAAACATGGGATCAGCCGATGTTTGAGCCAGTCCGGCCTTTTCAATATGGACTAGTATATATTTTCTGCTCGGCTTGCATTTTATGCAGCTGAGCAGGGTTATTTGAGCCAGACCCGGGCTTCCATGCCCGGTCGAAATGTCCAACATGTGATATGTTTACAGGAAAAGTGACTTGCCCAGATGATTTAATATTAAATTGTTGAAGAACTTTAGCTCATGCCGTGTCCAGATGCAAAATAACCAGGCAGACAAGTGAATTAAATCAGTAAAGACAGCCAGGCTGCACATTGGGTGGTGCAGGTGATTAAAGTAATTTGTTGAAGTCATCCAGCTGTTGTTGTGTTCGAGTAAATGATCACTGAGCAAACAGGTGAATTAAATGCCTGAACTGCACATTGATTAACAGAGCCAATTTCATTTTAAATTGTTGAAGTACTTTGGCTGGTGCCGAGGCCGGGCGGCAAATAACTGAGCAGAGAAGTGAATCAAATTGGTAAAAGTGCCTGGGCTGCATGTCAGATAATAGAACCGATTTAATGTTAAATTGTTGGAGTACTTTAGCTAGTGCGGAGGCTGGGTGAAAGATAACCGAGCAGACAAGTGATTTAAATCGGTAACAATGCCCGGGCTGCGTCTCACATAATAGAACCTGTTTAATATTAAATTGTTAAAGTACTTTGGCTGGGTGGAAAACAACCAAGCAGACAAGTGAATTAAATTGGCAAAAGTGCCCAGGCTGCGTATCAGGTAATAGAGCCGATTCAATATTGAATTGGTGAAGTACTTTGGCTGGTGCCAAGGCTGGGTGGAAAATAACCGAGCAGACAAGTGAATTAAATCGGCAAAAGTGCCTGGGCTGCGTCTCGGATAATAGAGCCGATTTACTATTAAATTGTTAAAGTACTTTGGCTGGTGCCGAGGCCGGGTGAAAAATAACCGAGCAGACAAGTGAATTAAATCAATAACAATGCCCAGGCTGCATCTTGCATAATAGAACCTGTTTAATATTAAATTGTTGAAGTACTTTGGCTGGGTGGAAAACAACCGAGCAGACAAGTGAATTAAATTGGCAAAAGTGCCTGGGCTGCGTCTCGGATAATAGAGCCGATTTACTATTAAATTGTTAAAGTACTTTGGCTGGTGCCGAGGCCGGGTGAAAAATAACCGAGCAGACAAGTGAATTAAATCAATAACAATGCCCAGGCTGCATCTTGCATAATAGAACCTGTTTAATATTAAATTGTTGAAGTACTTCAAGTGGCCGAGGCCGAGTAGAAAATAACAGAGCAGACAAGTGAATTAAATCAGTAAGAGTGGCCGTGCTGCATCTCAAATAATAGAGCTGATTCAATATTAAATTGGTGAAGTACTTTGGCTGGTGCCGAGGCCGGGTAAAAAATGACCGAGCAGACAAGTGAATTAAATCGGTAAAAGTACCCAGGCTATGTCTTGGATAATAGAGCCAATTTAATATTAAATTGGTGAAGTACTTTAACTGGTGCCGAGGCCGAGTGGAAAATAACCGAGCAGACAAGTGAATCAAATTGGTAAAAGTGCCTGGGCTGCATCTTGGATAATAGAGTTGATTTAATATTAAATTGGTGAAGTACTTTGGCTGGTGCCGAGGCCGGGTGAAAAATGACCGAGCAGACAAGTGAATTAAATCGGTAAAAGTGCCCAGGCTACGTCTCGGGTAATAGAGCCGATTTAATATTAAATTGGTGAAGTACTTTAACTGGTGCCGAGGCCGAGTAGAAAATAACCGAGCAGACAAGTGAATTAAATCGGTAAAAGTGCCCGGGCTGCATCTTGGATAATAGAGCCAATTTAATATTAAATTGGTGAAGTGCTTTGGCTGGTGCCGAGGCCGGGTGGAAAATAACCGAGCAGACAAGTGAATTAAATTGGTAACAATGCCTGGGTTGCGTCTTGGGTAATAGAGCCGATTTAATATTCAATTGGTGAAGTACTTTAACTGGTGCCGAGGCCGAGTGGAAAATAACCGAGCAGACAAGTGAATTAAATCAGTAAAAGTGCCTGGGCTGCGTCTCGGATAATAGAGCCAATTTAATATTAAATTGGTGAAGTACTTTGGCTGGTGCCGAGGCTGGGTGAACAATAACCAAGCAGACAAGGGAATTAAATCGGTAACAATGCCCAGGCTGCATCTCGGATAACAGAACCTGTTTAGTATTAAATTGTTGAAGTGCTTTGGCTGGATGGAAAACAACTGAGCAGACAAGTGAATTAAATCAATAAAAGGGCCCGGGCTGCACATCAGATAATAGAGCCAATTTAATATTGAATTGTTGAGGTACCTTGGCTGGTGCCAAGGCCAGGTGGAAAATAACCGAGCAGACAGGTGAATTAAGTAGGGCTACTTTTGTTTGTATTTGGTAGCTTGAACCTAGGCAATACAAGCTTAGTTCCTCCTCAGAAACCTCAGAAACTAAGATTGCCCTTGAACTCTATAGTCTTTCGACTTAGAGTCTCTTTAGAAACCTTGATGATAAGTCTTCAACGTTGAAGACTTAATACATGTTTGACTTAACAGAAGTCAGTGTATCATAGAACCTTGGACAGACCTTCAGGCGCAAGGCTACTAGAACCTACCATATCGCTTTAAGGGCCAAGCAAACGTTGTAGTGACCCACTTTGTCTCAACGACGAGAACTGTGGTAGACAAACGAACGATTGAACTCAAAAGCTTAACATACTGCCCGTTACACTTAACAACTGTAACAAAAGGTTCAAGCTTATCCCAGAACAGAAGGCGCATCACCGCCCTCTACCCGGATTAGACACACTGGACAACATAACAAGAGTTATATGTCTTACCGAAGAGA